ATCATTTTCTGCTCTCCTATCCATTTCGGCATCCCAAAGCATCCCAATCTGATCGGGCGTTTCACTTATTGCCTACTTTCTGAAGTTCTCCTTGGCTCACCAGATTCAGAACCATTTGGTGGCAGTCTCGTCTGCCTCTTTCGCGAATCCAAAGAGATGCAATCAAAGTTGCCTACTTAGCAGAAATTTGTGCCAGTGGCAACTCTGATATAATACTAGCTACACGCCAATGCAAATAAACTTAATTAGCATATAGCTGTGAAATGATTACTCGGCACTTGAGTATTTGACTACTGACTACTTGAAAATAAAGAGTAGTATGAAATACATACAATGCATGTTTCATAGAATTGAATCCATCAGGACCATTTGGTGGCAGTCTCGTCTGCCTCTTTCGCAAATCCAAAAAGATGCAATCAAAGTTGCCTACTCAGCAGAAATGTGTGCCAGTGGCAACTCTGATATAATACTAGTTACACGCCAATGCAAATAAACTTAATTAGCATATAGCTGTGAAATGATTACTCGGCATTTGAGTATTTGACAACTGACTACTTGAAAATAAAGAGTAGTATGAAATATACAGAATGCATGTTTCATAGAATTGAATCCATCAGGACCATTTGGTGGCAGTCTCGTCTGCCTCTTTCGCGAATCCAAAGAGATGCAATCAAAGTTGCCTACTCAGCAGAAATTTGGGCCAGTTGAGAGCACAACAAAGACATGCTTGAATAAGTGTGGCGAAGCAATAGAAATTATGGCTACAAACTAGTTTTTGTGGGTCTTCCATCCGCCTCTACATGATCGCTAATACGATAGAGTAGTTGATCAATCGCCTTAATACAATTAGAAAATGAATAAATTCTTATAGATTATGTTTCGCTGCTTTAATTAGATGTTACAAAGGAACTATATGCACACAAAATCGCATAATGTGATATAGCAAATTAGAGTATCTGTAGATAAGAGTTTGAGGGAGTCATACAGATGAATAAAGATAGACGGTTAAATTGGGATATCAGAACAATGTCTAAGAAGAAAAAATTCCACTTCATCACGCTTTTTCATACGAAATTAAAGTCTGCACCACAGTTGGTGTGAGAACGAGCAAAGAGAGATGACTAGACGCAAACGAATTCCAGTCAAACTTCGTGTTACTCGCATCATTCTGCTGTCATTGTGCATTGTTATCGCGCATGTCGCCTCGGAATCGGGTAGTCTTTTTGATCCAGGATCAGCGGGAGGTGATATTCGAACGGTGCTAGAGACCAGAACGAGCCCTATTTCCAGTAAACCCGAAAGAGGACATCTGCCGAATGATCTCAACCATGTAACAACCTTAACACACACACAACCAGCCTGCATTAGAGTTGGTTGCGACTGTTTCTGCAGACAACTGGTTCGCGTGACTTTGATCGGTGACCCTTTATGCCCATTTTCGATGTCGACCAAAAACAGCCTCAAATTGGCCAAAGTGCCTGTAAATCGAGGAGCACCATCTCGGCTTGGCTGGCACTGGTTCGGGCAAGGTTGATGCTCAAATTGGGCGACATCTGCCCAAGACGACGCCGGACGCCGGACACCACTTCCGCCATAGCAGACCACTTCTATCCTCAGACTTTTGAGGCTACAGGCCATTTGCCTCGTCAGATAGCAGTTTCGCAACTCTCCTATCCCAGCTACGGAGGGAGGATACAGCAAAAGTGCGTCCATTCACATCTGTTGGTCTGTTGCTGCCGTCACCTTATTCTGTACTTTCTTTTGCAAATTGGTCAATTTCATGGTGTTTTCATTTGTGTACTGACTAGTCATTAACTCAAGTGGAAATGTTGAATTATTCAATCATATTGGAAATAAGTAGGGTTAAGACTTTCAGCGCATAGTGAAT